ATTTCTAATCGTGCTGGATTTTCCTTGCTTTCTTATTTGACCAGCTATAAACTAAGCCAATTCTCCCCAATCTGGTATTTTCCAAAGCACAACTTAACTAAGGGTCTCATCACCTCTTTGGTTTCTCTCTCTGTGTGGGGACTGAAGGACGGGACCCTTGAGACCCTGGCCTTGCACTGACTTCCCCGGAGCATGTGCGTGGCAGGGTCTCTGGGTCGGGCTGTGTAAATGCCACACTGGCCGTCTACACTCTACACGCATCAGGCACTAACTTCTTAAGCCAGAGGAGGGAGGTAGTAGAACAAACCGATAATACAAAACAGTGTGACACCAGATACACTTAGCTCTGGAATTGATTTTTCCACTCAGATTTAAAGTTGATTGTGCCTGACAGCCTGTCACCTGTGCCCGTAAGTCCTTGAGCAGATGGTCACACACACTGACCCAGGCCAGATCCCATGTGCATGAGCGTCTGACAGAGCGTCTGACAGAAATGACCCACCCTGAGGGCTCCGTAGGTAGAAATATTAGAGCTGGACGCCTAGCCAGGTCTGCAGGGGAACTCAAAGACAGAGATCAGGAAAGACTGGTGTGCGGCCACCGAGCACATCAGTGGCAGAGGCAAGACTGGGACCCCCTGTGATTCTCGGGCACCCCCACTTCTGATAAGAGGTAGGCACAAGTGCCTCCGGAATCTTCTTAGAGGCAAACATCTCCATGGAGCAGCCAGAAAGAACCAGCATCAGCCATTCTAGGGCCAATTCATCTCTGAGCCACTTAACCAGCCCAGGCCACACGCCAGTGTCTATCTGGGGAGAGAAGACCAGGGACTCTGCATCCAATTAAAAGAAACAGGAGTGTGTGAGGAAGATAGAAATTCTCCCTGGAAGCCAGCCAGGGCACCCCCGTGCTAAGGATCATAACAACACCCATAACGGTGGGGAGAAAAAAGCTCCTCCGAGGCCTCAGGGACCTGGCAAGGTCATGGGAAGAGAAGGGAAACCAAGATGGACACTCTGGCCTTTGCAAAGCTCCTGCCAACAAGCCAATGGCCCGGCTCCTTCCTAGAGAGACATGGCCTCGGGGACAGCCACCAGGGTGTCTGGCCAGCCCTGCACACTTGGCACGTATGACAAGCTCACAGTGATGGTTCAGGTGAAGGTCAGCGAGACGAGGCTGTGGGACCCAGGTGTTGGGTCCACATCAGCCTGCATGTTGCTGTGAAGGTATTTTGAACATGCGGTAAACAGAAAATCAGTAGCCTTCAGTAAAGAGTGACATTTAAGTGAGTAGACGTTGAGTCGAGCAGATTACCCTTTATAACATGGACGGGCCTCATCTAACCCGTTGAAGGCTTCAGAGCACAGAGTGAGTTTTCCTGAAGACGGAATTGTTCCCAGAACTACAACATAGAAACTCAGCCTGAAGTTCCTGCCTTCACACTCAAGAACGCAACATCAGCCCAGCTGGCGTGGCTCAGTGGTTGAGCATCGACCTATGTGAACCAGGAGGTCACAGTTCAATTCCCAGTCAGGGCACAAGCCTGGGTTGTGGGCTTGATCCCCAATAGGGGGTGTGCAGGAGGCAGCCGATCAATGATTCTCTCTCATCATTGATGTTTCTATCTCTTCCTCTCTCTGAAGTCAATAAAAAGTATATATTTTTTCAAAGAATGCAACATCAGCCCTTATTGGAGACAATTCCTTAAAATCAATGGCGCTCGTCTCCACCTCCTATTGGTTCTGTTTCTCTGCAGGTCTCTGACTCACTCTCTGCATCTCATCTCCGCTTCTCTTCTGCCGCAGGAACCCCAACCTCGTCTCCAGCCAGGTCAGAGCTCTCAGAGCCGACCTTAACTCCGCTCTCTTCTTCCTCCCCCGCCATGGCCAGCCAGCAAGCCTGGGTGTTTTCTCACTGTTGTACTTACGCCTGGAAAAATTTAAATTTCTACCATTTTTCCAAAAAACAAAAGAAAAGAAAACCAACCACCATGTGATACCAAAAACATTTGGCTGTGAATTCATTTTTCCACTTATATTTAAGGTTGATTAGGTCTGGTAAGTAAAAATCATTTCTAAAATTAATTTAAATCTAATTTTTTGTTTGTCCGTATTCAGATTGGCGTTTGCCCAGCAGCCCTTTGTGGCTCTGTGCCCCACACGGGGGGGGGGGGGGGGGGGGGGTAGTGGCTCTCCGCTCAGTTTCAGGGCCATTCGGAGAGCAGTGGTCCTTTCCTGGTGTCACCCCTGAAAAGCAGGAAAACGGAGAGGAACTCTCGAATCTAAGTTCCCACAGCCACAGATCCTTCCATTTATCGTCACACGGAGGACGTAAGCAGCGTTCTCTCCCAGGGACAGAACTGAGAGTTTGCTTCAAAACCACCTCAGCCCATGAAAAAGTTTCCTAATGTTCACATACGGACTTGTGGATCGTGTGCAACCAAAACAGAAATAAAAATAAGCGGCAATGACAGTCTCTAAGAGGCTCCGGAGCTGGTGTCTGAGGGGGTTACATTCACTTAATCCTCGTCTCCAGCCCAGCCTTCCGCCGGACACCCCTTAGTGAGATCACCTTTAACCCAATGGATCCGTTTCTCCTATCTCCTCCCTCCGGGCACCACACCAGGGACCTGGACAGAGAGAGGAGGCCTGACTGATCGTTACCACCCCCAGGAAAAGAGCTAAAACGCCAGCGCTGATGGGGCAAACGCTGAAAGTGAATTCTTTAAAGAAATCACGAGAAAACAAGTACTGCCAAGTGGGAGGGAAATACCTTCTCATTGTTCCCAGGAGCCACGGCAGCCACGAAAGGAAACCACACGTGTGAAGCGCTCAGTCCATCACAGAGCTCCGGGTGCTGGCGCGGGAGCCCGCGGGCACCACCTGGCCTCCCCCTCGCGGCCTGCAGACCCACGCAAAGGTGTTTCCACCACACCCCACGCAGCACGTGGCGCATGCTTCTGTAATAAGTGTGCAGCTGATTGTGCAAAGGCGAGTACAAGTGAACACTCAAGCTCCACGCTGCCGCCCAGCAGCTGAGAATGCTGGGGGCACCTGCAGAAGCAAACGTCGCCTTGCTCTTCTTACTGCCCCACGATACGGAGCGGTCTCCACACACTGCCTCAACCGGCACAATAGCCCTGCGAGGTGGGAACCACTACTGTCCCATTATTCAGATGAGAAAACTGAGATAAAAAGAAGATAAGTAACGCCTGACCATCCGCGTGCAGAGGCAGCTGGCTGGACTGGCCTCAGCCACGCCTCACCCACCGAGCCCCATGGCCACACGGACACACACACCAGACAAGGTGGGCATCTAAGCACAGACTCAGCCCTACGGCCCAACCAACCCCTTTCCCCTCGGACGCCACCATCGTCTTGGGGATCAGGGGCAGCCCAGGCAGCTGGACGGCGGCGTGTGGCCCTGGCAACAGCTGGGCTTCGGGAAACGTGCTCAACCCCTGGATTCCCAGCTGAGAAGGAGGCTTTTCTGAACATGACCCGGCACATCAGAGCAGCCGGGATAAGGGAACACGTTTGCAAGAAGCAGCCGGTCCCCTCACACCCAAATGCTGTGCAAAATAGGGCGCAGACCTCGCTTTGCAATTTAACACGGCCGTGACCGTCTTGCAGCAAACACCTGCTCTGAGTTCGGGCCAGAGCTTAGTCCAACGTGCCTGTTACGCAGCCACGTGAGGCCTTTGCTTTGAGTGCTGGCAAAGTCCAAGAAAGTCAACAGGAGGAACCGTTCATCCTGCGACCAGCAGCAAGACGGCCTTGCACGTCACATGACAGTGGCTGAATGGGCAGAGATCGCTGCAGAGAAGTGCCTCGCTTTCACGCCACCCTGAAGAGCAGGCCGCACAGTCCTCCGGGAAGAAGGACGCTGCAGGTTGAACTCCACACCACAAAACAGTTGCTTCTTGGCCACACGAGAAATTTGAAGATGAGCTTGGGTCAGGCTTGGGGAACAGACACGGGGAGACCGCCCCCCTGGACCAGGGCTCATCCAGCAACCAGTGTCCCGCGGGGTCCTGGAAAGCAACTTAACCCAAATGCACCTGGATTCCCAGAAAAGCTCCAGCACCCTTCCCTGGCCGAGCCTCGCGCCCACTGGCCTCCCGTTTGAACCTAGAGACCTAACGTGCAGATGAAGTGCATCCGGTGCAGACAGGACCCCACCCGTGGCTCAGGGCACGTGCCATGCGCCTGGGGAGGTCAGCCGTGTGGCCAGGTCTGCACACGGGCCAGGCCCTGCGGTGATGTCTGAGTAAAATGTGTGCACACTGATGTGTCCGGAGCAGCCATTTCTCGGGGCCTGAGCTGCAGCCGCTGCAGGGCAGCATCTGGGATGAGCTAGGTGCCAGGCTGCTAACGGGGACTCCCCCAGAAGACAGCTGGGGGGCAGAGGGTGTTCACCCCAGCATTAGCACTACAGAGCACACAGGTCAGGAGATGAGGAGGAGATACTCCGACATGGACAGAGGGTGCCATCAGCGAGGCTGCACTCCAAGCCTCCTCACCGCATCCTCTCCCAAGGGAGGGCTGGGTCGCACAGGAGGGAGCAGGAGGGAATGGATTCTGATGGCCTTCGAGTTTCCTCCCTGTTCCGGAGTGTGTTGGCCGTGAGCCTGAGGACAAGTTCCCGTACCTCCCTAAGCCACCGTTTCCTCCGGTGTCAATGGGAATGGCAGCAGCCCCACCTCACCTGGATGCTGGCCCCCAACCTGAGAAGACAGAGGTGCTCATGGAACACCAGGTGCAAGGGTGTAGGGACGCAGGAGGTGGAATCTGCTATGGCTCGGGCACTAACTCGAAATGAATCGGCCGTTTCATTCGAGCTTGCGTTCTAGTTCAGATTTGGAAAACGACTGGAGTCACGGTTCCCCTCCCTGCTCTGCTCCCCTCCCCTCCCCTCTCCTTCCTCGCCCTCCGTGCCTCGCCCCCTCCCGAGCCCCTGACCGTCCTCCGCGAGGCCCGTCCAGGGATGGTTCACCCACATCCCCGCGGGTTGTCTGCTGCGGGTCCAGATGCGCGGCTCACTCGGCTGGACACGCCTCTCCCGCGGAGGCCTCCAGGGCCTTCCAGTAGATCAGCATCTTCTGGGGCTGCACGTGGTGGCAGGCCACGACCCTCCGGAAGCGGCAGATGGAGAAGCTCAGGCCGCCGGGGAAGAAGGTCTGCTCCGAGTGCAGCTCCTCCAGGCCGATGCGCAGCTTGGCCAGGCAGAGCCCCACGAACACGTCCTCCAGCTTGAGGAAGGGGACGCTGTCCGCGACGTCGTACACCTGGCTCGCCACGTCGCCCGAGAGCACGTAGGCGGTGCCCGAGCAGAAGGGCGGGTACCTGTCCCACGGGTACTCGTGCCGGCTGACGAACCACTTGCTGCGCTTCTCGCGGATGGGCAGGTCGTGCAGCTTCAGGAAGCCGGTGACGAACCGGGCCGTGCGGTTCTTCCGCAGCAGCAGCTCCACCAGGTAGGAGACGTTCACGAACATGTCGGAGTCCGTCTTCATCACGAAGGCCGCCTGCGGGCAGAAGTGGTGGACCCACTCGATGCCCATCATGGTCTTCAGGGTCAAGTTCAGGTACACGTCCAGGAAGTCCTTCTGGATGATGTCGCGGTGCCGCCGGCCCTCCTGGGCCACCGCGAGGGCCGCGGCCTCGCTGGGGGTGGTGCCCAGGAGGAAGACCGTCTCGGTCCGTTTCCCACGCACGACCCTCTCCCTGCCCCACGTCTTCCGGATGGCCGTGCGCGCAGACAGCTGCTCGTGGGAGGACGTCACCAGCAGGACCAGGAAGGGGGGGTCCCGCCGGCAGTCCACGGCCGGGAGCTGGAGGAACCTCCCGCTCTCCTTCTTGAAAATGAATGGCCCTCCGCTAAACAGGGCCAGGTCGTGCATGCTGAAGTACAGGCAGAGGGCGCCCAGCACCACCAGCGCCATGTACAGCCACCTCAGCTTCGCCGAGGCCATCTGAAAGGCACAAAGTCAAACCGTCAGGCCCAGCCAGTGTGGCTCAGGGGTAGAGCATCGACCTATGAACCTGGAGGTCACCATTTGATTTCCATTCAAGGGTACATGCCCAGGTTGTGGGCTCCATCCCCAGTAGGGGGCTTGCAGGAGGCAGCTGGACCATGATTCTCTCTCATCATTGATGTTTCTATCTCTCTCTCCCTCTCCCCTCCTCTCTGAAATCAATCAAAAAAATTTTTTTTAATTAAATGGTCAGACCTCGGGAGCAGGAGAGCACGTTCGCTTTACCCAGAAGGCTGGGACGGGGGACAGGTTGGTGTTTTAGAAGCTCTGGAATCTCGCCGCACACAGGACGGAGGCCGGGGCTCAATAGCGACACACAGACGGCTGCGGGGTCATTCGCTCACAGTAAGTGATGAGGACCAGGGAGCAGACACTGGTCCTGGCCCCCAGGCCGGCCAGCCCTTCACGTGGGGGTCTCGAGGTTCTTATCTAGAAGGACATGCGGCCACATAGCTCACCAGCTCCCTCCAGCTCTGCCCTTCTCTGAGCCATGGGAAGTGCAGCTGCAGAGCCTGCAAGGACGGAGACCACGTGCTCCCGATCTAAACACCTGGACCACCCTTCTTCTCTGCTGGACTTAAGCACCATGTTATCCTCCCAGAAATAAAAAGACTGGTTTTCTGATTTGCACAACTACCTTGAAACGCCACACCCTACCAGAGGTGGTTGTTATTTTATTGTTCCAGGTTACTTTTTTTAAAATGTATTTTTATTGATTTCAGAGAGGAAAGAAAAGGGAGATAGAAACATCAATGGTGAGAGAGCAACACTGATCGGCTGCAACCTGCACGCCCCCCATTGGGGGTCGAGCCTGCAACCCGGGCATGTGCCCTGACGGGGAATCGAACTGTGACCTCCTGGTTCATAGGTCAATGTTCAACTCCTGAGTCACACCGGCCGGGCTGTTCTAGGGTACTTTATAAAGGCACCTGTCTGATTCTGTCATCTTTTGCCCATCCATCTCTGTGTGTTCTCAACAAATCCAGGATGATCTATGCTAATGTCAACATTAAGAAAGCAAATAACTCACGTTTTCCTGGATAAGATGAACCTGTGGTTTGAAAGCTAAGCCACAGGGTAGATTCCAAGAGGAAATTCGTTACAAACTGTGGTCAGCATAGGCCGTTCTCCACTCTCAGGTTCTGGCTCGTTTCTTTACCCAAAATGGTCCTCTTTCCCAGGAATCACTATAAGGGGAAAAAAAAAAAAAAAAACAGCGTCATTCAAATCACACGTGCCTCATGGGCAGCTCTTCACCACCTGCTGTGCTCAGGGTTTGTCACCCTCCCACCTGCCTATGTAACCTTGGGAGAGTGTTAGAGCCCGACCCCAGGCTCACTTTTCTCATCTGTAAAATGGGTCCAATGGAGACAAATTCCACCACACGGTTCACCTGTCAACATCAATAACATCATGCAAGTACCCGAGCATCCTTTAGGACAGCACCCGGAGCTCTGTAAGGAGACCTAAGTCAGTTACAGTCCAACTTCTCATGCTGATGTCGAACTGCTCTACAGAGTGTGGCTGATGCGTAACACACTTCACAGAGGGAAGAAATCCATCAATTCTCCACTCAGGGTCCGTGTCTTCAAAACGTCCTCCTAGGTGAGAGGGGCCGGGAAGAAAAGAAAATGACCGAGTGAAATGAAGAAAGGGCTGGTTGTACTGGTAGCGAATGAGGACCTCAAACTTTTATTCAGTTAACGTTTTGTTCCAAATATACCCAAGTATGTTCAGAAAAGAAGTGGAACCATGCGGGAGCTTTCCAGAAGCAGCTAACTCTCAGGAGGCCGACGTGGTCCAGTTCCTGTTCTTCTCACCGCCCCCCACCCGCCCCCCAGGACTCCCCTCCAGCCAGAGCCCCCACGCTGTCAGAGGAACCGCTGCCCGATTGGAAGAGGAGGCTGAGCCGGCCTTCGCAGGATGCTAAGAATTCTATTCCCCCTTTCTTCCTTTGTGAGCTTACTATTTGCAGGCCTAGGATGTGTTTTAGAGAGAAACATGAAAACCCAATGCAGCCGAGCCAGCCTGGCTCAGTGGTTGAGCATCATCCTATGAACCAGGTCATGGTTCAATTCTCGGTCAGGGCACATGCCCAGGTTGAGGGCTCTATCCCCAGTGTGTGTGTGTGTGTGTGTGTGTGTGTGTGTGTGTGTGTGTGGCGGGGGGGAGAGGGGAGTAGGAGGCAGCCAATCAATGATTCTCTCTCATCATTGATGTCTCTATCTCTCTCTTTCCCCCTTCCTTTCTTGAAATATTGAAATCAAATATTTTTAAATGCAAGAGAAAGGTGATATTCCTCTATTCTGCTTCCTGTCTCAGACACATTGCTCATCCGGGAGGCCGCCTCAGTAGTAAACCTAAGTTCTTGTGCCCCAGTGCCCCCTTTCTCAGGGCCCTTCCCCAGGGCCTCAGTCCCCCAGGTGGACGCGCGGCTCACTGCTGCACTGGTCTCTTGCTGGACGCCAAATGGCACCCGGGAGGCAGAGCCGGTGGCAGGGCCCCAATGGGCCAAAGCTCACTGCGTTATTGTTTTTTATGTGAATTGGAACATTCTTCCTACCGACAGTGCAGTGGCTGAGAAACCGCTCTGCAGACATCACAGCTCACAAACCATTTACAAAGCATCAGCATCTTTGAATGAGTCTATGAGGACCTGATCCCACCTTCCAGGGGAGGTAGGTTCAGGAGCTCACCCAGAACCACAGGGGGCATGTAGGGAGCAGCTATAGGATTAAGTCTTGGACTGACCTGTGGCAGGGCCACAAACAAGTCCCAGCCTGGAGGACAGAGCTCTCCTAGCATAATTAACCTGCCCTTGTAGCCCTCCCTAACTCCTTCCTAAGTAGCTAATGGGCTGTGGGAGGTGCAGCCAGTGTTGCCAAAACAAGAACCTTTGTATACATGTTAATCCACCCTTGTTTTCATCAGACTGTATAAAACAAATGCCCTGTATCGGCTCTGGGTCCCTGTCTCTCCATCAGAGGACAACTGTCCCACCCGGCCCCAGCTTTTTCCTTCTATCTCTGTGTCTATCTCTTTCTTTCATTTTCTCAATCCCCAGCCACCCCTACTCAGGAACTGGACTGTGCTCTAGCAGCGCTAGACGTGGAAAAGAGAGAAATATTTATATTTGGCTCCCGGATCCAGGCACCTGAGTACTGGGGAACTCTCAAAAGTCAGAGGAGGGGGTCACTCTGAGAAGTGTGCCCTGCAACAAATTAAAGAAGTAAGGTAAGGAGCTGATTGTTGCATTAGCTGGGTGTAAAACATGGATAATTCAGGGCTTCAGGAAAGAGGTTTCTAAGTTAAATTTCAAGACTTTAACTGAGACATAGCTTTGGGACATTTCAAGGGCCCTGGAATGATTCAAGGATTTATTTTCTCCTCTTAAAAGAAATATTTTTAAACTAAATTAGGCCGATCTAATATACTCAAAATCACGTGGGAAGCTTTATCAAATAAAAATTAATAACTGTGTTCTGTTTAAGTACTTATAAGCAATTGGTTCTAACAAAGTCCACAGTCAAATTTGCAAAAAGAATACTGGTTAAAAGTAAATTTAAAAAAGGAGAAATTTTAAAATCTCTTCTACTACTATTTACAAAGTAAACCAAAAGTTATTTTTCAGGCATTAAATCTCACCATTAATGAGACACCATAAGGAAAAAGAAAGTTACTTTTACTTGAGATGTATGCATTGCAGTATTGGCCAGCATGTTTCTCTCTTACTAGTTTTTCTGAAAAGCAACCAAGTTGATTGTTCTGTTTAAAAGCAAGTAAAAGTTTTTAAAAGAAACTCCCTAAATGTGGCTTAGAGATTTGCTCTAGGAAAAACTACAGTGGGAAATGCCCTTCAGATACCTAGGAACTGTACTTTAAAACCATGTATTAGGCCTCAAAAAGTAGGAATATGCAAGGATTGCCTCAAGACCTTCAATGACTTGTAAAGGTTGTTAGAGGACATTAATTAGTTAAGACCTTATCTAAAACTCTCTACAGGAGAAATGACAAATTTATTCAATACTTAGAATCCTAAGGAAGTTTTTATTACGTGTATGCAAAGACCTACAGAGTCAATTTTCTAATGTCGTGACTTGCATGTAACAGCAGTTTGCAACCATTTAAAAAATATAAATGCCAAGTGGTTTGGGGCCATCTAGAAAACCCTGTCTTCCCTAAACCAAGGACACTTAAAAGTAAATAATTCGAATTTTGCCTGCCTAACCAAAGCTTATGTCTATATACTCAAAAAGACTGATAGCAGAAATCCAATTAGTGTCATTTACTGTCCACACCCTAGGACAAATAAAGTTAGAAAATAAACCTTATCTCAGACTGATTTAAATTGACATAAGTGTATGTGGCAGGGGAACTAAGACAGGCAGTGGAAGGTTACCGGAGGTTTAATGTCACAGAGGCTAGTCTCTCACCTGGAGATTACTTATCATGGAAGCATTTTATCTGTGTTTGTGCTAATATTGGACCAGCCTGCATTCAGGGAAAGGTTCAAGATGCAGGCGAGGAAAGCAGGACTGATGATGATAATTTAATGCCCCATAGACAGGGAAACTTAAAGCAGGGCCAGCCCCGGCCCCACCAAACAGTAGGGGTCTTATCCTTAACCCCACTGCAGCCTTTCCAGCTGGCTCGGTCCCAAAACCAACTTTGGAAACCTTTTACCGTGCCACCCAGGAAGTGCAGGATCAGACCTCAGTCCCACCTCCCGATATGTACTAACCCCAGAGATGGGACCGCAGGCCATTGCTACAGGAGGGTATGGGCCCCTTCCCGGTCATGATGGGATTAATGTTAGGGAGGAGCAATTTGACACTGAAAGGATTTCAAGTCCTCCCTGGGGTGACAGATCAGGACTATACTGGAGAAATTAAAGTAACAGCACAAACAATTAATACTAACCATTATCCTACAAATAAAGTCTTACAATTTCTCTCAGTTACTACCTTTACCTTCAGGCATTAACCATTTTTACAGATGGATCCAGTTCTGGAAAGACTGGATACTACTGCAGGAGGGGAATAAAGGTCCTTCAAACCCCTTATATTTTAGCACAACGGGTAGAAATACAAGCTCTTATTTATGCCAGATTTTGCTACGGAGCCCATCAACCTATATAGAAGCGGTTCTCAACCTGTGGGTCGCAACCCCTTTGGCGGTCGAACGACCCTTTCACAGGGGTCGCCTAAGACCATGCTGCATATCAGATATTTACATTACGATTCATAAGAGTAGCAACATTACAGTTATGAAGTAGCAACGAAAATAGTTTTATGGTTGGGGGTTACCACAACATGAGGAACTGTATTTAAAGGGCCAGAAGGTTGAGAATCACTGCTATATAGTGATAATGCTTATTTGTAAGTATGGCCACAATTATTGAAACAGCTACTATAGGGCACACTAATTCGGAGGAACTCTCATTTATTTTTCAGCCTTCGAAAGGTCACTAGAGAACGACAATTTCCCTGCTTTATTGGTCATATCTGATCTCATTCAGGTCTCCCTGGTAAATGAAGCTATTGACCACCTCCTTGCTATAATGCAAAGGCTACCCCATTTTCTCCTGCCCAGTCCTCCCATGCTTTGCATCATCAAAATGCTGCTGCCTTGCGCAAACAGTTCCGTATTTCTCGGGAGCAAGCTCGTCCAATTGTTAAGCAGGGCCCGCAGTGCGTAATTCATTGCCCTGTACAATCGTTGGGGGTTAATCCGAGGGGTCTTAGACCTAATCAAATCTGGTAGATGGATGTCACCCACATCCCGGGGTTTGGTAAGCACAGATGGGTACATGTTACTGCAGATACCTGCTCCCGCTTTATCATTACAACTCCCCAAACAGGGGAAAGTGCCAAGCACATAATTAATCATTGCTTAGCCGCCTTTGCAATACTAGGACCTCCCTTAGAGCTAAAAACAGACAATGGACCCGCATATGCTAGTTCTTCTGTTCAGCACTTTTGTCAGCAATATCAAATTTGTCATAAAACTGGTATCTCTTACAACCCTCAAGGTCAAGCAATAGTGGAAAGAGCCAATCGTACTCTTAAAATGCAATTGCTAAAACAAAAAGGGGGAGGCGGATGTTATGTGTCACTTCAAAACAAACTCAGTCATGCTCTTTATACTTTAAATTTTTTGAATTGCGATGCAGAGGGTCTTACAGCAGCCGAAAGGCATCAGGCCTCCTGTACAATAGCCGCCGCCGGGTTAGCCCGGTGGAAGGATGCACAAACCAGACAAGAGTTTTACCAGATTCAGTAACGATGTGGGGAAGAGGTTGTGTTTGTATCTTTCCAGAAGGAGCAACACAGCCAATTTGGGTGCCAGAGCGTTACGTGCGTCACCACAAAGGGCCCAGAGAAGCTCCTTGTCCCTTCGTTCAAAAGACTGAGCGTTGCCCCGATGATAGCGATGCGGAAGAAGAAAAATGAATGCTACGCAAGGGACCGAGGTGCCAACCTGGGGTCAGCTGAAGAAGTTAACAACTGGAGCCCAGCAGATGGTAGAAAAGCAAGGAGTGGAAGCTACTCCCTCAACCATGTTTCTGGCTATGCTAGCGTTGGTCA